GATGGGGTTTCACCATGTTGACCAGGATGGTCTCGATCTCTTGACCTTGTGATCCACCCACCTTGGCCTCCCAAAGTGCTGGGATTACAGGCTTGAGCCACCGCGCCCGGCCTTGTTTTTTTTTCTTAACATATTTTTACCATGTTTAGAATAGATGATTTGCTTATATTGAATTGCCCTCTTGGCAAATAGGAGATTGCTAATTTTATTCTTTTTTATATATGTGCTGAATATATCAGAATCCTTTTTTTTTTAAGCAGAGTTTGTATTTTCATTATTAGGAAAGAATAGTAAACTGATCTTTGCAGGTTATGCACCAGTGTAAATAAAAACTTCACCATCCCAAATTTAGCACAGCTCTTTCACTTTAAATGGAAACAGTGTCAAGATATCTTACCTACCAAGTGAAGACCTTGTTCCTATTAAGAGGTGTGAGAGTGAGAATCCAGGGCTACATGGTGATCCCCACATGGCTGGTAAACACTTTGTGGCAGTTATCTCAGGGTTAAGGCAGAATTTTGAAGTATTAGGTGATGGATTCAGTTTTATTTTTTTCCTTTCAGGATTCTAAAGGAAAACGTTCTCTCTTATCTGTTATAGGTCCTCAGAATGGTTGGAATGACCCTCCAGCTTTGAACAGAGTACCCAAGAAGAAAAAGGTACTAGAAAAAGTTGTCCATCCAGTGACCTACAGATGTCCTACAATGACCTACACCATGTAGCCACTTGAACACACTATACTTCACTGATCCTTTTAAAGGCGAAACTGACTGAGTGATATATTTAGAGTGTATTTCTACATGCATCTTCTGATCTATGGAGGGAAGGAAAGGAAATAGAAAACAGTATCATCAACACCTTGTTCTGATGATGGTGATATAAATTAAAGCCCTTTTAGAAGGCATCTAGATATAAATTCCCCCTAGGCTTCTTCAAAAAGTAGGAAATTTCAGGCTTCAGGGTTGCTTTTTTTTTTTAGGCGTTACTTTTGTCTTTGGGTTCTACTAGTCATCATGAATTTGACAATTAAATTTTGCACTTTTTCTGTCATATATAATATAAATGAAGAAATAGCCTTGTAGCTGAACATTGTTCAGATCTCAGTAACTCTTAAGAGCTGTTAGAGCACAAAATAAGACACTTTTTTTCTGCCCATGCTATTTTCAACTTTTAAAAAATTTCCTAGTGACCATCCCCAAATATACTGAGAGGCCATAATATGAAATTAGGAGACATTAAATGAGGAAAGAATCCCAAAAGTTAGGTTAGTATTAATCAGAAACTTAATTTAGTACTCTTAGTACTAAATTAAGTGATAGGATTGCCAGATAATGTCTACTTAGGTATTACATTCTGATCATACTAAACACATGTGCACACACACACACACATACATACTTGGCACCTCTTGATTCCATTATTGCTACATACAGTTCTCCAGACCTGATATCCTCTTTCAAAAATGCCATGGTTTTAGCTCCCCTTTACTGGGGGTAAGTATAGGAGGGCAAAGGGAAACAAAGAAGGTCCAGGTTTGAGCTCTCTACCCCTCTTAGCCAAATCAGCTGTTGTTTTTTTTTTCCCTTTTGAGGCAGAGTCTTGCTCTGTCACCAGGCTGGAGTGCCGTGGCACGATCTCAGCTCACTGCAACCTCCACTTCCTGGGTTCAAGCGATTCTCCTGCCTCAGCCTCCCAAAAAGCGGGGACTACAGATGCGTGCCACCACACCCAGCTAATTTTTGTATTTTTAGTAGAGAAGGGGTTTCACCGTGTTGACCAGGATGGTCTTGATCTCTTGACCTTATGATTTGCCTGCCTCGGCCTCCCAAAGTGCTGGGATTACATGTGTGAGCCTGGCCAGTCAGCTCTATTTTTATGTTTTACTCTGTTTATTCTGCATAAGATTTCATTTGAAAAAGTACTTACTATTAAAAAATTTGCATAGCCATAATATAACCTAACTCCCTTAATTCAAGCTGAGGAAATGTTGCTATCCTTTTTATTCTTACTCTTGGTGTCTTTTATTTCCATCTTTTAACAGATGCCTGAAAACTTCATGCCTCCTGTCCCCATCACGTCACCAATCATGAACCCGCTGGGTGACCCCCAGTCACAGATGGTGCAGCAACAGCTTTCAGCTCCAGTACCACTGTCAAGCCAGTCTTCATTCCCACAGCCACATCTTCCAGGTGGCCAGCCCTTCCATGGCATACAGCAACCTCTTGGTCAAACAGGCATGCCACCATCTTTTTCAAAGCCCAATATTGAAGGTGCCCCAGGGGCTCCTATTGGAAATACCTTCCAGGTAACAGTAAATTTGTAGAAGTGAAATGGGAAGATGGCTGTGTTTCAGTATATTTTCTTTAATATGTTAACTTTTATGATTACATGATTATTACTAAATATCTAGATAATCTAAACAAAAAATAGTAACTTTTTTTTTTTAAGATTGATCATGTATGTATATTATTTTTCAACTACATGGCCATATACAAACTTTTCTAGAAGAAGGTTGTACGTTTGAGAGTGTTTGTTTACTTTAAGTTGGCTTAGTCAATAGCCATAATTTAAAATCAGATGAATCATCTCTGCATTTGAGTTTGCTAAACAAAAGCTGTTTCCAAAGATTTTTCTCTTTAAAATAGAAAATAAAAATGTAGTGAGTTATATATTTTTATGTGTATGTATAAAAGCTAATGATATATCTTTATCTTCAGATAAACATTTTACTCACACACAGACAGCCAGTTGGCAAAGTCCTGCGTGTTGAAAAATCTAACACATTTTTGCATAACACACTTAGACATACAGAGTTAAATATTTTGATCTGTTCATGAAAACTAAAGCGCTTAGACCAAAGTTCAATATAAAAAGATGAAACAAACTCCTGCCCAAGTAAAAAACTAGTTCTACTGTTTCTGTCTTTGATTCATTGAAGTCAAATTTATAAAGATTGTGTATCTTGTCACAAGAGTATACTTCACTGTTTAGAGATGATATGTCTAAGGAATTTTTAAACATTAAAAGTTGCATTATAAAAACATTCTGAGAAAGACGAGAAGACATGGTTCTTTCTGAAAAAATAAAAAATTACAGAGTTTTGTTTAAAAAAAAATGATTACAAGCCTGTGTTATTTTGGGAAGCTACTCAGCCACTTCTCTTTGTTTAGACCTAGGTTCTCATGCTGTACTCACCTAGACCTGAACCTTAGCTACCATCAAAAGAGAAAGATACACAGTGTTCCAGTGTTCAGCCAGGCCATACTCCCAGCTGCCTGCCTACTTGGCTGTCTTGGAGGCACTTCAACCTCAGCATGTCCAAAACCTAATTCATACCCTTCCTCCAATGAAACTTAGTAATCTTTCATTGTTTCCTGTTTTCAGTGAGTGGCACCATAATCTTTTCTGTGGAATCCAGGCAAAAACCTGGAGATCATCTTTATACATTTTTCCCATTAACTTCTATTTGAAATCTGTCTCCCCAGATCTTGTTGATATTACTCCAGAATATTTTTTGAATCCTTTCTTCTCCACATTTCTACTCTGGTCCATACTACTTTCATCTCTAGTCTTCATCAGTGCAGGAATTGGTCTGCCTAATCCTAATTGGTCTGCTCATATCTACTTTGATCCATCTCTAATTTGGCCTTTTTTTCCTCTTTGCCTAAAACATTACATCTTCCCATTGCTCTCAGGATGAAGACCAAAACATTCAACATTGTCTGGAAGGCCTCAGCTCATACTTGCTGTTCTCTCTCTGCTCCAGCTATATTGGCCTCCTTTTAGCTCCCTTGTACCATGATCCTTCTTTTGTACATGTTATTCCTTTTGTCTGGGATGCTCTTTTTTCCTCATTTAACTGTTCAACTCCTTTTTGTTCTTCCAGCAGAATTGCCTGAAGAGAGCCTTCCCTTCCCTTCAGTCAAATCCCAGTTATAGCATCTTTTGGTTCCACTAAGTGTTAACATACTACAGTTGCTATTTTACATACATTATATGATGTTTTTAAACTGTGCCTCTTCCATTAGCCTGTAAACTCCCTGAGAGCTGAGATCATTTCTGTATTGGCTCAGCAGTAGTACATAGCCAGTGCCTGAACGTAGTTGCCTAATTTTTTTTGAACGAGTGAAAGAATAAACTAATAAAACTTAAACATTTCTTCTTTGTTCTTTCATGTGTACGCTCAGCATCATCGGATGTCTTCTCTTAATCTTTGGCTTAAACTTGCAGTTTTGATCACAGCCCAGTTAACAACCTCTAAGAATAAAACAAAGAATAGGAGAATGCCAGGATACATGAAATTGAGCCAACAAGCAGAGCAAGCACCATTCTAATCAGTCAAGAGTGTTTTCCAATGCCTTGTTTTTATTCTCTGCTAGCACGTATTTATTTTCCATCAGTTACATGGAATTTTGACCAACATATGTTACCTAATCAACCAACTACTTTGTATCCAGTCCTGCATATGAAAATCCAAACTTTAGGAGGAGCGCCTACACTTTGTACTAGATACCTCGTTTTCATTTTTACTTATCCTAAGTGATTTCACACATTACATTTTAATTTGATTTTGAATAGGTCTGTCTACAAGGTTGTTATTTCTGTTTATCACATAGATTCAGGATTGTGTCTATAAGGTACCTTCTGGTCATTTCTGATCATTTTTTGATGTGTTTCTTCTAGCATGTGCAGTCTTTGCCAACAGAAAAAATTACCAAGAAACCTATTCCAGATGAGCACCTCATTCTAAAGACCACATTTGAGGATCTTATTCAGCGCTGCCTTTCTTCAGCCACAGACCCTGTATGTATACGTATTTTTTTTTAAATCATATTTTACTTAATTAAAAGAATCCTTGGCCAGGCATGGCGGTTCATGCCTGTAATCCCAGCACTTTGGGAGGCCAAAGCAGGAGGATCACTTGAAGCCCTGGAGTTCAAAACCGTCCTGGCCAATATGGCAAAACCCTCTCTCTACTAAAAGTACAAAAAATTAGCCAGGTGTGATGGAGTATACCTGTAGTCCTGGCTACTTGGGAGGCTGAGGCAGAAGAATTGCTTAAATCCGGAAGGCAGAGGTTACAATAAGCCGAGATTGTGCCACTGCACTCCAGCCTAGATGATGGAGAGAGTTCATCTCAAAATAAATAAATAAAATAAAATAATCCTTTATGGAGTTCTTCTATAATTATTGCTTGAAGTCCTACAAAGTATATTTCTAAAAAGTTTGTACAAAAGTAATAAACGTAGCACTTACATAGTTTGCATTACACATAGAAATATATTTAATTTTTTTATATATATAAATATACTTAATCTTCACAATAACCCATGGCAGATGGATTTGTCATTTTTATTTTACAGATGTGAAAATTAAGGCAAAGAGCAGTTAAGTAACACTTAAGGTCAGAGCCAGCATTCAAACCCAGACAGTCTGACTCCAGAATTCATGCTCTCAACCATCAAGCTATACTGCTTCTCATCAACAAAACTGTATTTGGCACATAAATAGAATATAATGGTGCTATGCACGAAGCTCACATTTGGGATTTCTTTCTGAGCTTATATTGAAACTGTTAAAAGTAGATAGATATCTTCTAAAGCTCTGCAGAGATATTAAAGATAGTTAAATGTTTTAGATATCATAGGCATGTTTACATTTAAAGCAACTGAGTTTACTTAGTTTACTTAGGATACCCATGTATTGCAATGACAAAAATTCCACAAAGCCAGTCTTAAGTGAAATTTCATTTTCTCCCAGCACACATTGAATATATTTATTTAATCATCGCTAATTGTCTGCATGAAAAAACAACTTTTTTTTTTTTTTTTTTGAGACGGAGTTTCGCTCTTGTTACCCAGGCTGGAGTGCAGTGGCAGGATCTCGGCTCACCACAACCTCCGCCTCCTGGGTTCAAGCAATTCTCCTGCCTCAGCCTCCCGAGTAGCTGGGACTACAGGCACGCACCACCATGCCCAGCTAATTTTTTGTAGTTTTAGTAGAGACGGGGTTTCACCATGTTGACCAGGATGGTCTCGATCTCTTGACCTCGTGATCCACCTGCCTCGGCCTCCCAAAGTGCTGGGATTATAGGCATGAGCCACCGCGCCCGGCTGAAAAGACAACATCTTATTGTTCATCAGACATTGAGTATTAATATGTGCAGCCTTCTGCTGGTCAGTGGCTTTGTGGAAAGCCATTTTCTGTACTGAAAGTGTCAGGAAAGCAATTAACATAAACCTTAGTGCCTGACATTCTGGGGGCGATGGAAAGACCAAGGTGGAAACAAGAGAGTCAACGAGGCTGATAACCAGATGTATGCTAGCCCCTATGCACAGTCCTAAATAGACAGGCCATAGTCATTCAAAAATGGAAGCATCTGAATAAGAATGACAAAACGCCAGTTCTTCAGGCATGAGTCAGTATAGAGAGGTTGGGAAGACACATAATACACGGCCCAACTCAGTACATTTTTTAAATTTACCCTTCTCTCGGTCATGATACTGTCTTCCTCCTGGATACCCAGGAGCTCTGGGTAGTAGAGAACCACAAAAAACAAAGTGTTCCTATAATTCCTGTAATTAGTTGGGGAAGAAGTTCTAATATCCTGCCGGCTGCCCACGCCCCCTTGGGGTAGAGCTCCTATTTGTAGATAGATAAGGTTAACTTTGAGCAAGGGTTATAAGGGTTCCTTTCCACAAAAGTTCATTTTAATCAATAGTTGTAATAGTTTTTATAGCATGGATTTATCATATTTTCACTTCATGTCTAAACAGCACAAAGTAATTTTGCCACACCACTTGGTATGTAGCATTCTTGATGGCCTGTCTCTATTTCTCTTCTCCAAGCACACTGGTATTCCTTCCTTGAACACACCAAGGGCACTTCAGCATCAGGGACTTTACACTTGCTGCTCCTTCTGCCTGGAACTCTTCCTCCACATGTCTCATCAGGCCTTTCTTTACTACCCACAATTCCCAACATGTTTAGCACCCTTCCCCTATTAACTTTTCTTCATAGCAGTTATCACCACCTGACATGCAATATATTGTTCATTTAGTATTTCTTCTCACCCACTGGGATATGAGCTGCATGACATACAAGACTTTGTCCGTAGTATAACACGTAGTAAGCAGTCAATAAATATTGAACTCACATAAGTCTGTGGTGTAATGTAGATCATTAAGTTACTCTTGTTGTAATTTTAAAACTGTTAGTTTTAGAATAGTTTCTTTGACTATACTTACAGTACTACGGTAGAGAGGGAAAAAAGGCTTAATAATGTGTTTTACTACTTCCCTCAGTAATCTTTTAGTTGCCAAAAGATAGTTTTCTTTTTTTCTTGATGCTTTAAAGGATTTAAAGGCAGGATTAAACAAATGTAGCTAAGTGTTTAAGTAGTATTTTTGAAAGGCTAAAACAAGATTCCACAGTTCACCTATATGTTTGCCTTCTAGTGCCCATGATCTTCAATAACTGTACTTAGCCCTT